AATAAGGTATATATTGGTGTCGCTAAGTAATCCTGCATAAAATGAGGTAAATATTGGTGTTGCTAAGTAATCCTGCATAAAATGAGTTATATCCTTATATTTAAATTGAAGTGATCTTGCCAATCCCTCCAGTGGTAATAAATGATGAGAAGAGGAAAAGATAATTTGATTGAAAGTGAAGGTTTGCTGAAAATGAGAGTGTGCGTGTATTGTACTGTGTGAGTAAGGATATAGGATGAATGTAACAACGGTATAAAATAGAATCCGTTAACTCCAGGATTTATATAATTTATACACATCTAGAATACTTAACCTTCAACTAACAATTAAACAATTTATTCTTTAACTCTTTATATATATATATACAAATAACGGTATTTAATGTTAAATATAAACTTTCCTTTTCTAAAACAATGTATAAGTTAGACGTTTAATAAATCCATGATCGAATTTATTTGTATTCTAACATTGCATAATTAAATTATTCGTGGAAATTTACTTAGTGTCTCATTTTTTTTATAAAATATTTAAGTTGCAGAATTTCTTCCAATCTGTGAAGAATCCAATCAATATCGTAACTTAACAAATTCACAAAAATCGATAATTTTACGAAAATATTTTCTGTTGAAACTTGACAATAACGATTTATAAAAATAAAACGGGTCCCTAAGAATAGCTTAAAAGTCAATAAAGAAACGCGTATTATTAACTGTTCCAAGGGCCGTTATGTAAAATAACCTCCCTCTGTTGGGGAATTCATAGGTTGATAATGTTCGTCAAAATGCGGTAAACATTTTTTTAAAATTTTGATTATTATAATAAGTGAAAAGGACAACCCTGGGAGGGTTTTGCACATAATTTTCCGAGGATTTATAAATTATAGATTATAAAACATTTATTTACTGTCTGATTTCTGCTTTCTCGTTTTATCATTCCTTTAACTCATAAATTCTAATCGTAAAAATACTCTTGAAATTCTTCTGTGCTCCCTTGGCCCGTTCTGCGATGAAAAGATTTCCATAATAGGAGGGAGGGGAGGGAGGGGAGGATATGGAGGGAGGAGGGATATGGATTGAGGAGGGGATATGGAGGGAGGGGGATATTTTAAGGAGGGGGGATATGGAGGAAGGGGATATTGAAGGAGGAGGGATATGGAGGGAGGAGAGATATGGACTGAGGAGGGATATGGAGGGAGGGGGATATTGAAGGAGGGGGGATATGAAGGGAGGGGGATATTGAGGGAGGGGATATTGAGAGATGGGATATATTGAGGCAGGGGGATATTGAGGAATGGAGATATTTAGGGGTGGGGGGTATTGGGAATGACGCAAATCAACAAATTGCAAAACCTGGTGTATCTCGTGACCCATACGATGCATCTGATTGATATGAAAATAATATTTAAACATTTTTAATAATTTTTCTAAAGATTTATTATTAAATTTCAAACATTAAAAAGCTTTCATATTTTTTCCTTTCCGGAGTTTAGAAATTTGCCAGTAAAAATATATTTCCTTTTTTGGGCTTTAGTTTCAATTTCAATGTTTATTTTGAGTTTGAGTGGAGTGAACGCAGAGGCGCCTTTCCATGACCTTTAAATATATTAACTTGAATGTGTGCTTGAATGTTAAGTTAGAAGTTACAGTTAATCAAATAATTTTAATGCATTTTAATTTATTTTAAAAATAGGTCGAATAGGCCTTGAGGACCCAGGTTAAATCAAAATCATAATTTTTCTGAAAGAAACTGCGATCCTCTTTTTTAAAAACATAAAAAAATAACAGGAAGATATTTTACATAATAGATTCATGAGAAGAATGAGTAACATAAAATTCCGCCTCAGAAGATAAGATTAAAGAACATCATTAGTCGGTTATTTTATGAAAAGCTGACAAAAACCTGCAATTTTATGTAAGCTAAAAGAAAAAACTTAGGAATTTTAATACAATGTTGAAAGTCAAGGGCACGTTTACAACCCTAACTAAGTGTCAGAGTCAATATTAATTAGACTTGTGAAATATTCCTGATATTAGAACGCGTGAAAATATTTCCTTTCAACTGTTTTGTTTACTTTTTCTTGTCAGAACGGGTTATCATGGATTCCCTTTCTCCTGTCAGATCATCATATAATTTTCCTTTCTCCTGTCAGATCATCAAGGATTTTCCTTTCTCCTGTCAGATCATCAAGGATTTTCCTTTCTGCTGTCAGATCATCAAGGATTTTCCTTTCTCCTGTCAGATCATCAAGGATTTTCCTTTCTGCTGTCAGATCATCAAGGATTTTCCCTTCTGCTGTCAGATCATCAAGATTTTCCTTTCTCCTGTCAGATCATTAAGGATTTTCCTTTCTGCTGTCAGATCATCAAGGATTTTTCTTTCTACTGTCAGATCATCAAGGATTTTCCTTTCTCCTGTCAGATCATCAAGGGTTTTACTTTCTCCTGTCAGATCATCATGGATTTTCCTTTCTGCTGTCAGATCATCAAGGATTTTCCTTTCTGCTGTCAGATCATCAAGGATTTTCCTTTCTGCTGTCAGATCATCAAGGATTTTCCTTTCTGCTGTCAGATCATCAAGGATTTT